CCTGGTTATATTAGGGGTTCATAATTCTGTTTATGTTATTGGTGTTTTGCCACACTCACCTGTGAAGGTGGGCATTTAGTCTTGAATCAAGACTCTTGATAGTCCGTTAGTGGCGGTGTGGATACAGCACACTGAAGACTGACCATCGGTAAACAAGGAGAGCGAAATTGGCACTGCACTCTGCCTCCTTTCTTGTCCTTAAATGTAAAGGAAGGTAACCATTCTGCTACTTCTGCAACTGGGACGACTAGAGGCCCATCAGTGCCACAGTGGGGCTCGAACGACCGTTGGATCAGGAGGCGAGTCGTATATTCACCCAACTCCTACATTTACCTGTGCTCTCACTTTAAGGCAGAAGCAATATAACAGTATCAAAACCATGATGCAAGCAATAAAACATTATCTCTATTTGATCATAGGAAACATTACCACTTTTTCTGATATCCAAAGACATTCATCATATAGCCTGTGTGTGTGTAATCACTGGTGAACAGAAATTTCAAAACTTTAGAAAACAGTAGGCTACACTACAGTCAAGGAAATAAAGGGACTGCTTGAGAATATTGTCTAGAAGCGGAAAAATGTGCTTTACTAGTTCTGTGCACAAAAAGATTCCTCCATGGTACTAGTTAGGCACATAAGTATCACCCCTGCTCTCCCCGTACATAAAGTCTGCCACCCACCCTCCCCCGTGGTGTGTGGTCTTCTTTGTTGTCCATCCTCATGATTGTTATGACGCAGATGTATCCAGCGCTACCAACATACACACACACACACAAGGTACAGCGTCTTTGTTTTCCCTCCGGTTAAATAAATCATATTCCAAATAGAAATGTGACACGCCTTTCCTTATCGCTCAAACGGCTATTGAACTGAGTAAAAGTAAGTAAAGGGCAAAGTAGAACTATTTACAAGCCCAACAGCCGGCGAGCTTAAAAAAATATCTAATCAAGAATAATTTATTGTAAGTTAGGTGAACTATGATCCGGTAAGATTTATTATTCCATGGATTAAAAGGAACGCTTCAACAAATTTGATACGGATAATAGCTTAAAAGCAGGAAAAATAGATAAAAAAAATGTAATTTGTCCGAAGAATGTTGTATCCTTTACAAGTTTACATAATTTTCTGTCCACAGTAGATGTAGAGGGCGACGTCATATTTGTTTCGGTGTAGGTGATTGCTGCCAGCACTAATATTTGCCGGGACGAGGTCGCTCACCCCACAAGGCTACACCACGGACCCAGCAGATGCCTCCACCTTCAACACATGGACATGTTACTACGCAATTTGGCTTGTTCATGATTCAACTCGTCTTCACTGAGATATGTACAAAATTTGTTAAAATACATGTTCAGTTTTAACCTAAAACTTGTTCTAAGTATTGTACAGTACAGTATATGAACCAGACAAAGAAAAGTGACTCGTTTAATGATTAATGCGTTCATTCATGTGCTAAGATCTATTTTGCACTGTCCTCGCCGAGCTGTGAACACGAGTCATAACTTGTGATGAAGTTCATAAGTTACGACAGTACAGTCGCGTTCATCACTATGTTCATCAGATGAACATAATTAGTTTTCACGGGATGATGACCCTTAAATATACACTTATATATATATATATATATATATATATATATATATATATATATATATATATATATATATATATATATATATATATATATATATATATATATATATATATATATATATATATATATATGCTGATAACCACAAGGAAAGAAGAAAACACGAAGTTCCCAAGCGCTTTCGTGTAATTCACATCTTCAGGGGTGAGTACAGACTAGAGAGAGAAATACAAACCAAGGTGTATATATACAGAGGAGGGTGAGACCAGGTCCACAATGGTCAGGTATTAGGTAATGACCTTACTAATCTTTAAATGGCACACAACGGTTGGTGGTCAGGTCAGATGGTCAGGTGACCCGGACTGCTCACCTGGTTACAAATCATCTTAATTACAAAATTGTCCAGCTTGTACATGCCGTTACTCAAATTCATGTTGAATGCTTCTGTATGTTTAATAAGACTAGATTCTATGATGTTCCTACTATCAATTGAATTACATGGTAATATTGAGGAGGCATTATCCCAGTCAATGCAATGCTTGTTATCCCTCAAATGAACAAACAGAGCATTGGATTCCTGGCCTGTCCTAACACTGTATTTGTGTTGTTTAATTCTAGTTGCAAGATCTTTTCCTGTCTGGCCTAAGTAAAACATATTACATTCCTTGCAAGGAACTTTATAAATGCAACCAATTGTGTTGTTGGGGGAGTTCTTGAGAAAGGCTTAAATATACAGGGTGACCTTAAAAACATGGTCAGGTCATAATGACGTCATCCACTAATCCCTACACCAACACACACATACCTTCTGGTTGTATTAATTATTATTATTATTCCAATTTTAGTACCTAATAAATGGTTGAGGGGTTAACTTCAGTAGACAACATATTACCAAGTTTTTTGTCTATATGTAATATATAAAATATTTTGTTGGTGTTTGTTCCTTGTGTATTTCTAGGTATTTATAAACTTCTATTAAGTCAACCCTTGTCTGCTTATACTATACTGTATTATAAGCTAGGCAATTGCAAGTGTTCTAATCTCCCTGGGTACCAGGGGTGCCATAAACGTACCAGTCTGGTAGCCCTCCTCTGGATGTGGCTGTTTCGAATCAACTGACAGTTTCTAGCATATCTTGGGGATCAGATGGGATGGCAGTACAGTACTGCACTCCAAACGGGGAAGGACCTCACTTTTGAAGAGCATTATGAGGGCCGGACGATCTAGATATCTGAACACCCTTCTTATAATACCCACTTAGTTTAGTTGCTTGATTCACCTTCTCACAATGGTCCAAAGACTTTAGTTCTTTGTCAACATACACACCCAGATTCTTTACACATTTGGTCTTCTGTTAATACTGTTTCTTCGTCCCGTTGGGACATGTGATATGCCTCTTTACTGTTGGTACGATCTAGGTGAATCCTCTTGCAATCTGTGACATTGAATCTTAATAATCATTCCTTTGACCACTCCTGAAGTTGACAGAGATCTTCCTGTAACTCTTTACAGTCCATTCGGTTCTGTATTTCCTTGAATAACTTTTCATCATCAACGAATATATGTACAGTATGAGGTAGTGTATAGCTTCTGGCATGTAGTTTATGAAATAAATAAACAACAACGGACCCAGTACACTGCCTGTGGTACCCCTCTTGTCACGGGTACACACCACGATTTCATACCATTAATCACCACACACTGCTTGCGATCACAAAGAAAGTTTCCAATCCACCCTGGGACAGTCCCCAAATTCCGTATCCTTCCAGTTTAATTTTCAGCCTTTCATGGGGTATGCGGTCGAAAGCCTTGGCAAAGTCCAGCTATATTGTCAATATTGCTATCATGCTCCAGGATCTGGGTCTAAATATCCAACATCTTAAGTTATTGTGTCAATCAGGAGCTTCCCAACATAAAACCATGTTGGCATTCCGTTACTAGGTTGTTTTGTAGTAGATGTTCCATTGAGGCAACTCATATAATGCTCTCAAGTACTTTACATACTATGCTAGGCAAGCTCACTGGCCTATATTTGTGGAGTGGCCATCTCCCTTTCTGAATATAGAACTCACATATACCATTTTCCAGTTGTTGGGAATCTTTTACTTGTCCATGCATCTGCAGAACAGAATTTTAAGGGGCTCGGAAAGCTCGTTACACAACTGTCTCAACACTGGGATGCACACTCTCAGAGTCTGGGCTCTTATGAACCTCTAGCTTTGACAATTTGTTCCTAATACTCTCTTCTGAGAACATAATGTACGTCAGCGCTGTGTCGAACTGTCTTTCCTTAAATGCAATTAGATTGTTGACATCCTCTCCTGTGAACCCCTCTGCTTTGTCCTGTTTTGAGTCTATGTAACTACCATCTTCAAGTCTTAGATTGATATGCTCACACTTGTCTTTAATTTCTACTTTGCATATTCTTTGGGTTTGACCTGACCTCACTTGCAATCTACCTGATACTTTTTCAGCCCTTGTACACTCTGACTTTACTTGGTTCCTAGACCTGACATACATCCTTCTGTCCTACTCATCATTTGTCATGACCCATCTCTTGAATTTCTTAATACTGTCCTGATCGGCATCTTTAACTTAAATTTCCTTCTGCCTTGCTCTTCCATATGCTGTTCTGTATCTCCTGCCATGTCTTATCCTCCTCTCCTACTCTTCGCCTCCATCCTAAGAGTTATTATGGACCAAAGTGATATTGGTTACCATACTGTTCTATCCATTTTTTTTTTACATGGCGAGGTGTAAGAGGTAACTTAGAAGTTTGAAATGGGGTTAATATTAAAATTATAAAATGAAAGTAGTACCGGTACACTTATATATTTGATTTGGTTCTGAGGGATGTTAAAAAGCAAATATTGTATACCTTGTACTTACCGTAAATTGATGAAAATAAGGTCTGATCGTCACCATAGATTTTTAAACTGATTTAAAGGCCCCAGCTGAAATGGATAAAAAAGTGTTGTTACTGTATTTCTCCACTTTCTCAAAAAATATTCCTTGCATGGTATTTACAGTGTATTGTGCTAAAAAGCCTATGCTAAACAGAAAAGCCTCCCCTATAATTAATTGATACAAATACCTTGTCCACTTTCTTTTCTTTGTTGATATATTCTTAACCTCTTCACTCCCATTCCTTAAGAAACAGTTTTGATGCTCAAGTCCAAGCACAAAAGTTGGACAGTTAGATGTGCAGTACAGTAGTTCTGTGTGACCTAATATTAAATGTACAGTATTGAATACAGTAAGGAGGTGAAAAATAAAGTTTATCATTGTTATCTCACTATTAGACAAGCATTACCGTACACAATCACTGTTCAGATCCTTCTATAAAAAATTTATGCGGAAATTGCAACAAAACTTGGAAGATTTAGGTAATGATTAATATACAATATTACTTGGTGATAGCTTTAATCTATTAAAAAACTATGTACAATAATAACAACATTTACAAAAACATGACTGAGCACAGTGTTACCGGGTACTAAAAAATAAGGAATGCCACTTTCTTCTAGCAAAAAGGATTCCCAAAGTTTTAGCTTCATTGGTACACTTTATACAATTTTTTTTTTAAAACAACCCTTTTCAGTTTCAAGAGTAAAAAAATAAATTACCCCCGGTAGCTATTTCCAAATGATGGAAATATTTAATTGTGAAGAAATACAAAATTCAATAATTATCTGCTTTTGTGTTTTAAATACCCCCTGTACTTGTATAAATTAATTTAAATTCATTATGAATTATCCAGGTCTAATTATGGTAAGACCTCATTTATGTGCATTTCAAGGCCCTAATCAGAATTATTTCCATGTTATGAACACAGCCAGCATACCACTCAAATTCAAAATATAATTATCTCATTACATTTTTACATTGTTATTTACAGGGGCAAATGATTTCTTGCAGCAATGTTGGTATGAAGTACCATTTCAAAGTTGTGTACAACTGACCAATCTACTGAGTATGGAGACTGTTCCAGGTACCTCCGAATTTCCATCATGGCACGACGGACAGAGCCTTCAGTCACTACATCTGGGGCAGGTAGGAAATTATTTGGTTGATGATTGTCCATTTTATATTGCTGTAAAATTCGTTCTGCAGAAGAATAGTTTCCTTGTGAAGGTGTGGGTGCAGATACTGTATGATCGCGGGAGCTTGTGATTACCCCACGATTCATGGTATTTCCGGCAAACATCTCTCTGCCACCTGAGAGATCGGAGCCATATATATGTGATCCTAAAAATTTGTTTGCAGCTGCAACTGAAGAAAACTGTTGACCTCCTCCACCTCCCCCTCCAGGTGGTCCCACATTGGTTCCAGCTTGGACCACTGCCTCTGAAGGGTTCACAGGGCCTCTGAGGAAACCATCATAATTGCTGACGGCTTCCTGTGTCGAGGGTGGAACTGGAAATCCAAACATATCTCTTGGGTATGCATTATTCATAGTCTGAGGATTTCCTGGTGGTTTCATTGTATTAGGAACAACTGGTGGATTTTGCATAACACCCATGTGGTTGCCAGAATTGTGGTGTTCTGTGTTAAACTGAAAGCGATTTTGCTGTTTGTTTTCATTGGAAGGTTGAACACTATTTTGGTTAAGGTTTGTTGGTGTGTGCTGCTGAACCTCCTTGTTCTCACTTAAACCATGTTTTCTCTTCCAAGTGTCCAACCAGGTAGAAGTTGGGATAAAGTCAACTTTTCCCATTATATCTGCCAGCTCTTTGGCTTTCTGGCGAAGAATGGGGCCTGTTAGGGGGACATTCTGATCTTTTACTTCATTGTACCACTTAAAGAGTGCTTCCTCTACTTCCGAGGCCGACCCTTTTCTCATGCGTTTCCGATCTGCCGATGGGTCACCATAAAATGCTTTAAGAATTGTTTCTTTATTTTTCTTTATTATGCTGAGTGTAGACTTGGATACATTATACATATCAACCCACTCCCTTAATTTAACATTAGGTTCAGCTTCCATCTGATGGATTATTTCTACTTTCTGTCTTAGTGAAAGAGAAGTACGAGTCTCTTTTTCATATGCTGTGTGGAATAACTGCATATCACCATCATCATATTCTGATGGATGCACTTTTTGTGTCTCGGTTCCATCATACTGTTTGGGACGACCACAAGTAACATTATTCCGTTTCTTCCAGCGAGCAAACCACCCTTCTGTTGGTACAAACTCTGGTTTTCCAAGAGACAAAGCAATAGCTTTTGCCTTCTTCCTTAATATACCAGCAGTAATAGGTAAATTTTTCTCTTTAACTTTTAAGTACCATACATAAAGTGCATCTTCAATATCAGGCGCTTTACCCTTTTTGTTCCGTCTTCGTTCTTTATCAGGGCTATTAACATAATTCTTAATAATGAGGTCCCTGTTCTTCATCATATGAAGCATTGTGGTTTTGGGTACCTCAAAGAAAGATGCCATGTCCCGTAAGCTCCACTTCATAGGTAGACTCTCCACTGCCTTCACTATTTCAAATTTCTGCCTTAATGTTAAAGTTCGTCTTTTGATTCCTTTTCCTGATCGACGCACAAAGTCATCAGTTTCCTGAAGGCTGATTTGTAATAGGCTACCAATATCCTGAGCTGTAGGTGATGCAGTATCATCATCATCATCATCTAGTTCTGAGCCCTGATCATCTTCCATTTCGTGATCATCATCTTCATCTTTAATATCACTTGTATCAATTGCTTTTTCAGAATCACTTTCTTCAACATCACCACAACCATTTTCATTATCACCTTCACCCGTTCCTTCAACTGAAAAAGTTATATTATGCCGTTTCTTCCATCTCTCTAACCATCCAGTAGTTGGTCTAAAACTATAGCTTCCTTGGGAAACAGCGAGGTCTCTGGCTTTTTCAAACAAAACAATATTTGAAAGGGCTAACTTCTGTTTTTTAGCAGTTTTATACCACTGATACAATGCATGTTCAACATGAGGAGCTTTTCCTGATCTTAATCTTTTTCTTCTTCCATTTGGATTGCGTTTATATGCCTCAATAATCCGATCTCTTGCACGCAGAATATTAAAAAGAGTATTGCGAGGTATCCCAAAATGAACTGCCATTTCTCTGTGAGATATTTTACCAGGTAATTTCTCAATTTCTTTTAAAATTTCTACCTTACGTTTCCATGTAATTTCTGCCCGACGTTTAGGTTCAACCTTTTTCTGAGACTGCATGAATAAACGCACCTCTTCTTCAATTGAACACTCATCAGATAAATTAAGAACTATTGTGCCATCTTCAGTAATACCATCATGTGCATTTCCATTTTCTTCTTGTTCTTCCACATTCTGAGAGGCTGCATCATCTTCTTTGTCTAGCTCCATCTTAAAATATTCTGGAAGAATAACATTACATGAGTACAAACCAGTCACTTTACTTTCTGAAAATAAAAGTGATTACTGAACATCTTTAGCTAAAATATCTAATGTATGCTGGATACCTTTTATATATTTAACAGGAGCCATAATTAGATTCAACCTTTACTACAGTATATACAGTCTATCAACTCCATATCTACCTTGTCTCATGTGTAGAATCTCATCTCTATAATTTGGTTACCAACTCTCTCTAGCCAATTACCGGTATACAGAATATAACATACAGTATAAAGTCACTCCATTGTTTACATCCAGTGTGCGTGCGTGTTTCTCGCCCCAGCAGTTGGATTTAACTTTTACAAACATACAGTAAGTACAGTACAGTGCATTACCCTTATTCAAGATGACTGGAAAGAGGCCATCAAGTGGAAGTGACCGCAGTAGTGCAAAAAGAAGCCGCAAAGGCATTACATTGGATATTAAACTTGATGTTTTAAGAAGGTTTGATGCTGGAGAAAAACATAGCCAGATTGCAAAAACTTTAGGTCTTGATACTTCAACAGTGGGAACAATCCATGATAATAAGGACAAAATTAGGTCAAGTGCTCAAGCAGCTACTCCATTAACTGCTCGAACCTTGTATTTTCATAGAAGTGATTATGATGATTTACAGGGCAGGGCAGAAGAGAGTAGTGCCCCTCCCTCTCCCTCCCAATAACTCCCTTTGCACCACCTATCCTCACGCAGCAGTCAACATCTTTTGTGGTGAGTACAGTACAATATTTTTATTTATTCCAACTGTATTTCTCTTCATATTACATGTATATCATAAGATATTTAATGTACTGTATTGTATGTGTTTATAAATGTTTATTTTCATTCATAGAAGTGCTTGAATTACTTTTTTGGGGGCTGAAAAGAATTCATTAGGCATGCATCTCCAGTTTTATAATGGAAGTCAATGGGAAAATAGGTTTCGCGTTACGGAATTTCGCGATACGGTCAATTTTCCAGGGACGCGACCCTTCCGTAACGCGAGGGATGCCATATATATACAGTGACCCCTCGTTTAACTAACGCCTCGGTTAGCGAAATTTCGGTTAACGAACCGCCTTCCATAAGGATCTTCAATTCGGTTAACGAATTTCTTACGAACCGACCTCAACATGTTTTCGCTTGCACTGACCGGGCAACCAGCTTTAGTATCAGTCCGCCAATACATTAATCGGTTCTAGGGCTTAAATTCCTTACTATTTTAGTAAATATCAAGAAGTTTATACTATTCAATAATTTTAAAGTTTAATATTAAATTTTTTAGTCATTTTAACAATTATTGAACATAATTGAAGGTAAAGTGACTAGTTTAATGTGCGGCATCCAGCCTCTTAACACAGCAAACAGGCATTAGTCTCTCTCTGTTTTCACTGGAGGTAACATCTTGCTTGAGACTTTCTTCAACTAAACGCTATTTTTCTGTGTTTCCAAGCAAATTATTGGTCATTTTGAAATATATTTTACATATTGACAATATATAATGCAGTGCAGTGTTGATTTAAAGAAAATAATCTTGAAATACACCAAGAGAACTAAAATTTTATGGGTGAAATGGTGCCATGGGGTGACTTCTCTTCCACCCCAATGCCTTCTCTTCTTCCTTCTCCTCCACCCCCATTCTAATTCCCATCATCATCACCATCATCCAGGAGCCTTCTACATACACACCTCAAAGTAAGTGAACTTTTCTACTATTTTTGTTGAATTTAGGAAATTTTCGGAGAGCTGGAACCAATTACCCAAAAACCCATTGAAACAATGGTTTCGGTTAACGAACGACCTTCTGGAACGGATTGAGTTCGTTAACCGAGGGGTCACTGTGTGTGTGTGTGTGTGTATATATATATATATATATATATATATATATATATATATATATATATATATATATATATACACACACTGAATGTGCAAGTAAATCACTGTAGGTGCGCTTGATCCAGGTATATGCTGATAACCACAAAGAAACAAGAAAACACGAAGTTCCCAAGCACTTTCGTGTAATTCACATCTTTGGGGGTGAGTACAGACTAAGGAGTAATACTTGACAAGGCTAATATATACAGTAGAGGAGAGTGAGATCAAGTCCCTAGGGGACAGCAGGTGTCCACAATGTTCCGGCCATAAGGCAGTGACCCTTACTAATCTTCTTAATCCGGAACATTTATTTATTTATTTTTCTTAAACTACAGTAAGGAGTTCAGCAACAATGTCAAAATTGACAACCCAAAACAGTCAGGTAGAAACAACATAAAAATAGGCTGCCCTGGTTGGGATTTGAAAGTTCAAGAATATCAGTATGTAATGCAAAGAGATGAATAATTGTAATGACAAAGTTGTTCAGCAAGAATACTGTATAGTATATTACATACAGTATACATAACAATTTATCAGGTCACACAGATCTGGTTATATAGAACAAAATATATCTACTCAAGACAATGAATCATATTATAATAACCCCTATGTCATATATATGATATACTGTATTAGGAAAACTTCATTCCTAAATGACAAACATACCAAGCTTATTCAGTTGTTGCACCGTTAAGCAGACACCAGCACATCATTGGTGAGTAAGCTATTGTCTGAAGACTGACACATGAGGCTGTTTGGTGAGGGCTGGTGGTGGATGGGTAAGGTACGACCAAGTTAAGAAGTGAATTTCCTGTACACCCTGCACTTTTCTCCAACTGATCAACCATAGATGTAATGTTTCAGTTCATGATGTTAAGTGCTAGACATACAGTATTCCAGTCATTATCATTTCCTTGCATATTCACTCCTCTTCAGGGACTATACATCCTGTAACTTCTGGATAAAAAGGCATTGTTGTAAGCTCTTCAAAAACAAGTTCCTGTAAAAGAGAAATGTAACAAAAATTAAGTACAATACTGTGCGGTATTTAAAATTTAACCCTCCCCACCCACCCACCCCCCTAAAGGGGGGGGGGAAGAATGAATTAATGTTTCTCAGAAATTAATTTGCCTTTTAATCTACAAGTAGAGTACTGTAGAGTATGGACTAAAACCTTAGAATTATGAAATTTTTCATTAAACATGATGTTCATTTACAAACCATGTAAAACTTGTCAATTTATATAAGAAGATAAATTGAGACTATTACAGGTTTAATTTCCATTTAGAAACTTGATACTTCTTACATCTGTAATCCAGGCTAAAGAACCACTAAAGGCTTGAAGTAAGATATTTTATAACCTAGACTATCCTTGAGAAAGACACAAGTGACCTGTAAGATCCATACCAATAAAACTTCCTCCAGCTGAGCCTGCCTTTGTCAGACAGCTTGAAATATTTAGTAACATGATACTTTCTGTGTGAATAAAGCCTTTCCCTCAAAGCAGCCTCCTTATCCAACTGAATCAGGGTGAAAGAAATTATTTCATTTGATCTAGTGGCTATCTCAAGTATCAGTATGACTTTATAAAGTATTACTGTACTGTATTGGGTTGAAAATACAGTACTAAACATATGCATTTTAAACTATAGTATAGTAAGTTTACCCTACAGTACAACCTTTTCAGTTCTACCTGATTTACAATCCCCATAAATACATGCTCAGTGAAGATAGCTTTGTTTATTTACCTCTGCAGTCAGCTAAGTATGCGCGTATACCATTGCTCAGTGGCTCAGTGAAGTATAACACGAGCACAGTAAATTTAAAATATTTAAAAATGCCACCTCTCATTTTTTCTTAGGATTTTCGAAGATTTCTGATAACTGATCTTTGAATTTATGAAGTGTAACCTGTAATTTAAAATAATAAACTTCAACCCAAGGTTGTGTTGGTTTGTATTACCAAATCCTACTCTCATCTATTTTTTGGATATTATCAGTACAAGGTACGTATTATAATTATAATAATACAGTGACCCCTCGTTTAACGAACACCTCGGTTAACGTAATTTCGATTAACGAACTGCCTTCCATAAGGATCTTCAATTCGGTTAACGAAAAAAAAATAAGTTAACGAAGTTCTTACGAACCGACCTCAACATGTTTTCGCTTGCACTGACCGGGCAACCAGCTTTAGTATCAGTCCGCCAATACATTAATCGGTTCTAGGGCTTAAATTCCTTACTATTTTAGTAAATATCAAGAAGTTTATACTATTCAATAATTTTAAAAGTTTAATATTCAATTTTTGTCATTTTAACAATTATTGAACATAATTGAAGGTAAAGTGACTAGTTTAATGCGTGACATCCAGCCTTTTAACACAGCAAACAGGAGTTAGTCTCTCTCTGTTTTCACTGGAGGTAACATCTTGCTTGAGACTCTCTTCAACTAAATGCTTTTTTTCTGTGTTTCCAAGCAAATTATTGGTCATTTTGAAATATATTTTACATATTGACAATATATAATGCAGTGCAGTGTTGATTTAAAGAAAATAATCTTGAATTACACCAAGAGAGCTAAAATTTTATGGGTGAAATGGCACCATGGGGTGACTTCTCTTCCACCCCAATGCCTTCTCTTCTTCCTTCTCCTCCACCCCATTCTAAATCCCATCATCATCATCATCATCATCAGGAGCCTTCTACATACACACCTCAAAGTAAGTGAACTTTTCTACCATTTTTGTTGAATTTAGGAAATTTTCGGTGAGCTGGAACCAATTACCCAAAAACCCATTGAAACAATGGTTTCGGTTAACGAACTTTTCGGTTAACGAACGACCTTCTGGAACGGATTGAGTTCGTTAACGGAGGGGTCACTGTAATAAATACTATTATTATTAATGTAAGAATAATTTATCATGATCATCTGTATAATTTTTTTTGTAAAGTTGCCATTGCTACTGTTGTTTCTTGAGAGTGAGCATGAAATGAAATACCTGTAGCGTTATTATTAATTTCTCTGAAATGTTGGCAGCCTTCTCTGCTGGCAGCAGCAGCATTATTTATGAGAAAAACTAGGGACAAAATCTGAATAATGGAAGTGCTATTCCTAGATCTAATTTGCATTTTCTTGATGTAAGAAATAAGTTTTTCTATAGATATCAGGGTTGGCCAATTTAAACCAATGGCTTAAAAAAATATATATACTGTATATAATAATCTACAGTAATCTACAGTATATCTTTTTTCTTTGTATTAATAATTTTTTGGTGGGGTTTTATTACTTACAGATGGTCTTAAAGATTTATAGTAGATTTGGAAAAGCGTATGATAGGGTGAACAGAAGAGCACTGTGGGAGGTAATACAACTGTATGGGGTCACAGGGTGGGAGGAAGGCTATCATTTGCAATAAAAACATTCTATGAGAACAGCAGGGCAACAGTATAAGTAAATGGAAAATAAAGTGAAATACAGTATTTGAAATAAATGTGGGTGTTAGACAGGGATTTGTTATGTCCCAATGGTTGTTCAATACATACACTCATGTTAACTATTACTGAATACACTGGTGAAAGTGGCTATCTCAAGGGTAATAAGCTTTCTTACAAGGCTGCAAACTTCTCATATCCTAATTATAAGGAGCCTAGTTGCCACTGTTCAGTACAGTAAAACTGGTGACTGCATTTTTTTTTATGGTTGGGCTCTTGAGCCTCAAATTCTAAGATGTTCAAATCATGTATTATATGGGTCCAGGAGAGCCAAGTCGCCACTCTATCTTTCCAACTGTACAGTACTCAAATTAATTCTTTAAAACTATCAACTGTAAAAGTAGAATAGTTTTTTCATGCATTAAGATGAATTTAAACTTGAGTGTTGGTGATTGATCAAAGCTTGTGTTTTGTTCAAATTTGGCCTTTTCACTGATTTTTTTAAGGTGGAAAAAGAATATACAGTAAATGATTGCTAGATCATCGTAAATGTAATGTTTATGATTTATAGCATAATAAAAAGTAATATAAAGAGTTACAAATACTTAAAACTTATTAAAACTAACATAATAGCATTAAAACTATTTTTTTTAAACATTGGTTTTTGTAAAAAAAAAAAGAAAAAAAAATTGGACAAACCCTGATAGATATTAATTGTTAGGTGTCTGGTTAACCTGATCATTGTCCTTAAATATATCTTAGCAAAACACACTTGAAAATTTCAGCAAAAGCTAACCATGATTAAGGTTGAAAGTAAAAGGTCCTCGTTACTAAATAATAATTCATTAATGAAGTGATCATAATACTGTACTGCACTCTCTTTAACAGTTCTGATATGTTCTTTATAAAATACAGGTTAATATTAGTTTTCCCCCATAATGTCATTTCTTTTTCTAACCCATATACTGTAGATATGTTCTATTTTTAAAAATGAATCAATTTTTAAGAATACTGTATTGATTTTTGTGAGTGCTTCATTTTCAGTAGATTTGCCCTGAAACACAGATCTACTTTCACTGTGTAAATGGTGGTTCAGCGGTCTGTTTACCGTGACGTCATGGTACCAGCCGTTATCTGCACTTGCGCAACACTGTGACTTAAGGTCGGGGCATGCGCATTGCGCAATAAAGACACATTATAAAATTTGGTATCAATCCAAGTCTCCTTCACACCCACCACTTTTTCAAAAGTAGCCATGCAACCTGAAACATTTTAAAGTGCTGTGCAAATAGTGGACACTTACTACAACCAAGAAGCTGCACTTGAAATATTCCAGAAGCACGGAGTGTTACCAAGAGCCAAACAGTGCCAAAAGTGTGGTATGCAGAGTTTTTACAGAAAAAAAAACACGCGCATTCGTGTGTACAAGAAATTCGGGGCACCACTGAGGGTCTGGCTTCCCCCTCACCCCCCCCCCCGGCAAGCCAATGGCCTAACCAGGTGGTTAGGTTAGGTTAGTTTTGGTCAGGTTAGGTTATTTTTGCTTAGGTTAGTTTTGGTTAGGTTAGTTTAGATTAGGCTAGGTTTGGTTAGGTTTTTTCCTTTGATATGAGAATTTTTTTTCCGATGTATTTTGTCGTGATTCAGTAAAATTTGACCTCCGTTTCTTGTGAAAATAGCCGGTTTTGGCGTTTTTAAATTTTCTAGAAAATTCTAAATAAAAAAAAACGGTTAATTCTTGCAAGAAACAAAGGTCACGTCTGGCTGAAACACACCAAAATGCACCAGAAAACAATTTCTCATATCAAAATGGGGGTATGGGGGTTAAGACTTACAATTACCCCCCCCCCACCAAAAAAAAAATTATAATAACTAAACTACAACGACTATACGGTATTCAATGAGCCAAGAGTAATCGCAGGTTTGGTTGATTTTATAAAGAATTCACAGCAAAATCGGGTCAATTTATAGTATCACACCGGTCTTTATTTCGATATTAAAAATATGTTTTTCCTATGTATTTTGAGGAGTTTTGAACGAATTTGATTTTCATTTAAACCAGAAATCACTTTTTTTTTTACTTGAGGATTAAACCACCCAAACAACCAAGAAAACCTAACCTAACCCGTTGTTCATGCTCTAGTCACTTAAAGAGCGAAGTCGGAGGCCTGGAGCGATGCGTGAGCAGGGAGTCAGACCACCTCTGCCATAAGTAAACAAATCCTGGCGACACTTATGCCTGAGCAAAAGTAATAAGAACATAAGAATGGAGGAAACTGCAGCAGGCCAATTGGCCCATACTGGGTAGTCCCATTTACACCCAACCCCTATTGCCCATATATCCATCCAACCTATGTTTGAAGCTATCCAGCGTATTCGAGTTAATAATGATGTTTGGTAACTTGGTCCATTCATCCAATACTCTATTTCCAAACCAGTGTTTACCTATTTCACGCCTAAATCAAAATTTGTCTAATTTAAAATCATTGTTACGAGTTCACTCCTGGTTGGATAGTTTGAGTACCTTTGTAATGTCCCCTTTGTTTAGCCCTGACTTCCATTTGTTTAGCTCGGTTATCCTTAATTTCCAGTGGAAATATCATAGAAGAAAAATGTCTTAGAATTGTGTAAACATTACGATACATATTTTTAATACGGAAATAAAGATTGGTGTGATACTATAAATTCACCCAAAATCGCATGTCAATATTTGATGGCCTTGTAGTGGACCGTATGGTACAGCCTATTCATGGCATAATAGTCACTGCCTAACATTGTATTAATATTTACATTAAGGTGGGTTAGGCTCTTGCAAATACAAGCGGCATTATTCTCACCCTCAGGGTGAAAAGCTTCTTTAAAGCCATATAATCTTTCAGGAACATCAAACATATTTACCAATACTGCCAGCATGTAGCACACCCCAACACATACTAATATAACATGTGACATTTGACCTACCTTTAAATTAAGTGTGAAGTGTCAAAACCAGTGTAGTAGTGTAAACACACAGCACCTAGCCTTGCTGTTTGTTACATGCCAAGACTAATCTAATGTTATTGCAGTTCGTTGGGGAAATGAATAACTGAAGGAAATTCTTCTCTGTACTTAAAATATTTGTTTTCAAATAAAAAGTTAAGATATATCCTAATTTGATAAGTTTATAAACAATTAGCAGAAGAAAGGCTGAAATAAAATATTTTGGCCAAATTAATCGCAATTCGGGGACCGACCACTTTTGCCATATTACGTCTTTGGCGGGCTGTTCAAAACATGTATGGGTTTCATTAATGCCTGTCTGAATTCCAGTGTATCTTATCACTTCGATTTAAAATTACTGTTCGCTCTGAATGCCGTTTTATGTGTGAATTTAGTACAGTCAAGTAAGTGACAGCGTTAAAATATATAGCTATAACTCAGTGTCCTGATAGGGCGCATCCCAAAGTGTCAGGAGCTGTGCAACAAGTTTGAGGAGCCCCTTAAAATTCCAGGAAAATGTCCCCAGCGACTGTAAAAAGGGCATATGTGAGTCTTATATGCAAATAGGGAGATTACCACTACACGAATACGTGTAGGTCGGTGTATTTTAGTGCATAAAGTACTAGAGACCATTATAAGAGATGATGATGGAGCATCTACTACAAAACAACATTGAAAGCAGTGCCAATATGATTTTATGCCTGGACGCTCCAGCTTGACGTAATTTCTTAAGGTGCTGGATATGTGGATACAGGTCCTGGAGCATGGTGGCAATATCGACAAAATATATTTAGGCTTTGCTAAGACTTTTGACAGCGTCCAGACATAAAACCATGTTGGCACTTCCACGGTTGTACCGTAGGTTATAAGGTACGAAAAGTTTGGTATTTGTTTCAAATATATTGACGTGATTTTGCCGTGGTACCATGATTTTATGTTTAACTATATTTTTATATATTTTTTTTCATAGCTCTCATTTTACTTTTAATATATTTACTTTTATCCTCTTCGCCTCTGATCGGATCGCTAGCCGCCCGGGCGATCGGCCACGTCTCTGTCACGCACTATTGGCAAATACTGGGCATGCACCAACAAATACAAAGTTAAGAAGAAAACCCGGAAATTCAAGGCGGGCGTGGTTTAGGTCAAACGATGAGCAGGACAGAAGGATGTATGCAAGAGCCAGGAACTAGGAAAAATCAGGGTGCAGAAGGACTGAAAAGGAGTTCCAGAGGCTGGTTGCAAGCGAGGTCGAGTCAAACCCAAAGGCGTTTTACCGCTATGCAAAGTCGAAATTTAAAACGCGAGTAGGAGTATCGGACCTGAGGCTTCAAGATGGTAATTATGCAGATTCTGACCAGGACAAAGCTGAGGCATTAAACAGCTTCTTTCTTCGGTGTTCACAAGAGAGGATGCGATTAATCTTCCTGTGTTTGAGGACAGACGGTTCGACACAGCACTGGCTCACATTGTGTTCACAGAAGATGTTATAAGAAATAAACTGTTAAAGCTAAAAGTTCACAAGAGTGCTGAGGGAGTTGTGCAACGAGCTTGCCGAGCCCCTGAAGATCCTGTTTTGTAAATGCCTGGATGAACAAAAGATCCCCAGTGATTGGAAAGAGGCTTATGTGAGTCCTATCTTCAAGAAGGGCGATCGTCACTCTACGGACAACTGTAGACCGGTGAGCCTGACCAGCATAATATGTAAAGTACTTGAGAGTATTATCAAAGATGCCGCGATGGAACATCTACTACGAAACAGCCTTGTAACGGATTGCCAACACGTTTTTTTGCCGAGGCGCTCCTGCTTAACACAATTGCTCTAGGTATTGGATGCTTAGACCCATATTCTGGGACGGGGTGGTAATATCGACAATATTTAGATAGATTTTTCCAAGGCTTTCGACAGTGTACCCCACGAAAGGCTGAAAATCAAACTGGATGGGTACGGAATTCGGGGAAATGTCCCAGCGTGGATAGAAGACTTTTTACATGACCGCAAGCAGTGTGTGATGATTAAGGGCACGAAATCATCATCCGTGACCGTACCTGTCACAAGCGGGGTACCACAGGGCAGTATTGGGCTCTCTGTTGTTTGTTTGTTACATAAATGACATGCCTGGCATTGTACACTCCTCCATACAAATGTTTGCCGATGACGCCAAGTTATTTCGGGAAATCAAGAACCGAGCGGACTGTGAAGGGCTGCAGAAGGACCTCTGTGGGCTCCAAGAATGGTCGAAGAAATGGCTGCTGAGATTCGATGTCACGAAGTGTAAGAGGATGCGCCTGGGGCGTACCAACGGTAAGGAGGCGTATGATATGTCCCAACGGGATGAAGACATTGCCCTATTTGAGAATGAATGTGAGAAGGACCTAGGTGTGTATTTTGACAATGAGTTGAAGTTCTCGGGCCATTGCGAGAAGAAGGTAAATCAGGCAAATAAATTATTGGGTATTATAAGAAGGTCGTTCAGATATCTAGACGGTCCGTCCCTCGTAACGATCTTCAAGAGTGAAGTGCTTCCCCATCTGGAGTACTGTCACCCCGTCTGGTCCCTGAGATATGCTAGGAACTGTCAATTGATTGAAAATGTTCAAAGGAGGGCCACCAGACTGGTGCCTGCACTGCGGCACCTCAGCTACCCCGAGAGATTGGAGCGCCTGAACTTGCCTCGCTTATACTACAGACGGGCAAGGGGTGATCTTTGAGGTGTATAAGCATCTCAAGGGGCACTACTCAGTCGAGTATCCATACTTGGACCTGGCGGGCGCTCGCCCCACAAGGGGTCACAGCTCAAGATTGAAGAAGCCGCAAGTTCAGAAAACTGTGAGGGCAAACTTTTTCGGAGTGAGAGTTGTGAACTCTTGGAACAATCTACCAGAAAGTGTTGTGACGGCGCCGAGTGTGAGCTCTTTCAAGACAAGATTTGACCAACACTGGAGCAGGTTCAGGTACATTCAGGAGCCGGTGCATGCCCAGTACTTGCCAACAGTGCGTAACAGAGACGTGGCCGATCGCCCAAGCGGCTAATGAGACGATCATTTGGTGAAAAGGATAAAAGAAAAGGAAAAGTAACAGAGACGTGACCGATCGCCCAAGCGGCTAAAGAGGCAATCAGTGGTGAAGAGGATAAAAATAAAAGTAAGTGAAACACAGTGTACTCATGGGAAGATATTGGAAGCATAATGTGTTATCTAATGGTAGACCCTGCTGCCATATGGCATCACAAAAATTGTGACCAAGTCTCAGGTTGCTGATCTGACTTTCTGCCTCATTTACGCACAATTGCAGGGTCTCAATTGTTTCACTAACTATTGACAACACAACATACATAGTATATTGTTTCTCACTTTTGATTTTTTTTCATTTTTGTATTTCTTTATGGTTCTTTATTATTTTTATTATTATTATTATTATTATTATTATTATTATTATTATTATTATTATTATTATTATTATTATTATTATTATTATTATTAAATTTTCGCCCCTCCAGGCCCTGATGTAGGTCAGTGACCTGTGCCCGGGTGGGCTAATGCCCATAAAGAAAAAAGATATGCAATGCTGCCAAGGTCATGGTATCTAATATACTGTAGGAATAGCCGTGTGTCTGTCTGTCTGTCTGTCTGTCTGTTCTGGGCAGCCGAAACGACACAATCGTTTTTCAACTAACTTGGTGAAAAAATCGCAAAAAATTCGTAGAGTCGAACAAACCTGGTCCCATGTCGATGGTTTCTTTAGGAAGGCATTAATTAATCATTTTATTTACGATGGAAAACGATACAAGTCTTCGGACTTGCGCACCCTAATTAACCATGCTAGTCTACGGACTTGGCGCACCCTCATTCGTTGTAGCTAGCCAAGCACGAGCATTCAAACTTTCACCGGGCACAAAGGGCCCACAATCGCTTGTCGTGATTATATAGATCGTCACACTTTGCATCAGAGCTGGACATTGAGCTAACACTTCCCAGATAGTGTGGTTGGCAGAAACACTTCAAATGCCACTGACTCATCTATAGAAGAATATTTGGTCAATTTATAGTTCAGGACATAATTCGATATTTTTGTTGTTGCCAATGATAAGTCAAAAAAACAAAACAAGATTTTCATCTATGACACTTTTGGCGCATTTTACCCATAACCGAGACATCGGAAGTTGATTATCATCAGAAAACTACAGTACTGTATTCTAGAAACATGCAAAGCTTTTATTTTATTTGTTGCCGCCAACCGGATCTCGTGAATTTTATTTGCAAACAATAGTTTTGACAATTCTAAAGCACTTTCTTCCATGACGTTTCCCTCGCAAACGACCTAGAACCGAGGTATAAAAATGCTGGGGGTCGGGGGAGGGAGCTGACGGTGAGGGAGGTTTGGTTTTTATCAACCCCTTATCTCAGTTATGGGTAAAATTAGAGAAAAAGTTATAGAGTATAAGCGTCTTGTTTTTATATGAACCTACCAATAAGTAATAATAATAATAATAATAATAATAATAATAATAATAATAATAATAATAATAATAATAATAATAATAATAAATGGCATCTATCGCCACCGACTAGATTTTTTTTTTAGTTTTCTGATTTTCAACTCCCAATATCTCGGTTATGGGTAAAATGCGCCAAAAGTGTCATAGATGAAAATCGTCTTGTTTTTGTCTGAACTAATCATTAGCAACAACAACAACTCCAGCCGACCCTCGGTAATTTGTTGTTTTCTTATAGCGAACTAAAGTTAGGTTAGTTTAGTAATTGTGCACATTTTTGTTAGTTAGTGGATGGTGTTAATGTGTATGACACACTCATAACACTTTCTGACAGGTTATCCTGTAGAGTTCACATCTCTCATTCTTTTTTTTCTTTTATCCTCTTTACCACTGATCCAAAAAGGTTTCCCCTTCAATTTGAGGCTGTGACCTCTAATTGGGCTTGCTCCAGGTATGAACACTCGACTCACTAAATGTCCTCTAAGGTGTGTAATAATTATTTTCCCTTGCTTTATTATCTAACATTGAAACGTAAAAAGTCAGGCATTCGCCTCATGCAGTATTCGTATTCATTGTATGTAAGGATAGAATGAGAAGAAACCAGGTTTATGTATTCTTATTACTGTACACACAACCCATCACATGAACAGAATAATGATCTGAAGTACAATATTTAGTGAGGAGGAGTTAACAATGAAAATAGTTTTCCCTCAAAACAAAATTCCCATTTTTTGTAAATATCTAAACAAGAGTCAGAAACAGCTGATCTAAAAGCAGTGCGGCTAAATTCTCCTTCATCAAAGAACATACGACGATGAAAGCTTATTATAACAGGTATGTGTTATGAAAATGCTCACATGTAAGAACCTGTGTTGACAGTGAAATGGTGGAACAGAGCATATTAAACAGATAAATATAGTAATAAAGGTAGGCAGACAATGCTTGCCTGATCACGCTGCGGCGAGTGACATTATCTGCAGCACATGTAGTCATTATATTTACTGACAACGGTTTACCTTACAAGCATGTTGTTAGTATTTGGCAGTTTCGTTGATGAGTGATTTTCTTTTGAACACAGCATATCAATAATGGTATAGAAAGACCACAGGTAAAGCATGGGACTGGAGGATGTGGATGCTCGAGTCTGGAATATAAAAGCAGAAATCCCCCAACAATTGAGTTTTGATTCCTTATAGATACTGTATTAATACACAGTAATATTATATTATTATTGTTCCGACCATCAAACAAAATTGGCAAACCTAACTTGACATTATTACTTTTGTCAAGTGTATTGAACATGACGAACATTAGCTTTTACTGTAATAGCTTTCTTGGGCAATATTCTTGCATGAATATTGACTGTCTCTTTACCTTATTTTGTAGATGTACTCCGTACATGGTCTATGTCTTGTACATACTGTTTCAGTGCGAGTTTGGTCATTTTATATTGGTGCACCGTTCTATCTAACCTAACCTAATCAGGGGTCCGACTAATTACCCAAATGTAGCCAAATATAGCCGGAATGAAGTCAAATAATGGTTCTAGATGAATAAATCGGACTGCCAATCACTTCTCGACTAGTATTTGGTGTCAGAAAGTCACAAAAAATTGGTAAACTTAATTTAATCTGAGTTAATAGATCAAGTGCATGTACCTAACCTAACCTAACCTAACCTAACCTAACACAACTCAGATTAAATTAAGTTTACCAATTTTTTTTTACTTTATGACACCAAATAATAATCGAGAAGTGATTCACAGCCTGAATTACGCTTGTACGACCATCATTTGACTTCATTGCGGCTACATTTAGGTAATTCCTCGCTCCGTCGGTACATGCACGCGATCTATTAACTCAGATTAAAGTAAGTTTTCCAATTTTTTGTGACTTCGTGACACCAAATACTAGTCGAGAAGTGATTGGCAGTCCGATTTGCATCTAGAACCATTATTTGACTTCATTCCGGCTATATTTGGCTACATTTGGGTACATTTGGGTAATTAGTCGGACCGCTAATCTGGGGGGCTCCGCCCTCCTAGACCCCCTGATTATTTTTTTTTATTTTTTTTTACGGGAATTAGCCCACCCGGGCACAGGTCAAACGACCCACAATGGGCCCTGGGGGGGGGAGGGCGAAAAAAAGAACAGAAACAAATTGAAAATAGAGAAGAAAAGGGTTATACTGTGTTAATCCACACAGTTTAGGTTTGGTTGGTTTTTGGTGATTTTCTCTGGTTTTTTTTAGACATATTTCTAATACCCAAAGAAAGAACGGTGCACTACTATAAATTGACCGTGAGTTTGTATGATGGTTGTCCTGAATAAAATTTAGTGGTAAAAATCATGTTCAGTAGTGCATACAGTCATGACAATTGGACTCATTCCAAAGGGCTCTAATCACTTGATTAGAATCCATTCCAAGAAGGGATTTCCTCTTCCCATTTCCATGAATTTACTTTTGTGAAGTGGCAAATTGACCTTTGGCTATGAGCCTTTGGTGTTTCAGTGAATGAAAACACATCAAACCTGAACTTTGTCTGATTTTACGTGGAACAGACTTCTGAGTACTGTCAAACTTGAGTACAATACAGTACTGTTTATGACATTCTTTGATTCATTGCTATAGGCATTAGATTAAGCCCTTTTTGTAGGGATAATGAGAAAGATAATGTACGTACGTACGTACGTACTGTATATCGTTCCTTTCTAAACTAAAGCTTCTAACAAAACAAATGAAATATACGTATATCAAGGACATTTTACTGTGTGATAAAGTGTTGCTTAAATATACATTAAAACATTTTTAAATTAAATGTGATATTTTGGGGATTTGTATTCTTTATTGTTGCTGAAGTTTTTTGGGTTACTGGTACTGTACTGTACTATTTTTTTTTTTTTTTTTTTTTTTTTACAGGGATTAGCCCACCCAGGCACAGGTCACTGACCCACATCTGGGCCCGGGGGTCGAAAATGTAATAATAATAATAAGAATTCATAGTAAATAAAATTTATAATAAAAAGTAAAATAAAATATTAATGGTAATAATAATAACAACAACACTGATGATAATAATAATAACAAATACAAAAAAATACAAGAATGAAAAAAATCAAGAAACGCTATATGTATGTTGTGTTGTCATGTAAGAGAAACAATTGAGACCCTGCAATTGTGTGTAAATGAGGCAGAAAGACAGATCAGCGACCTAGGACTTGGTTACAATTTTCGTGATGCCATATGGCAGCAGGGTCTACCATTAGACAACACTATACAGTAAACCCTTGTCATTCGTGGGGGTTAGGTTCCAAGGAATGGCTTGAATAGGCAAAACCGTGAATAGTAACTTATACTACCTTAGTGCTATGGTGTCTGCATTTCTTAAGGCTATTTATGTAGGAGAGATTGAGGCACAGTCTTCTAAATCCCATGTTTATTTCTTTTATACAATTATTTGTACAATAATATATAACAAGTGCACTACTGTATACCTATACCAAACAACTGACCAGCCATGGCAGCACTCATCCCCTCTTTTAACTTGTCTAATAATAAAACTTTGTCAGGGTCATCACTGACTTCTGCCTTTTACATTTCACTTCACTAGCATCACTAGCACTAGGCAGTTTTTTAGGGTCAATTTTCACACAGAAATACTAAAGTTTTGAGAGTACAAGACAAGATTTTGCGAGAAAAGGCTCGCAAGCTATCCACCATAGTCACTATTTGCTTATCGCGAATTGTCAAAATTGCAAATCACAAACCCGTGAATGATAAGAGTCTACTGTTTGTTTGGGCATTGTGATGCTTGGAGATAGTGGCAGTTAGGGAGGGACTTTTGGCAGGAATGAAACATTATATTGTTTACAGTATATAGACCCATTTGGCCAGTGTGCTGAACTGTGTACAGGTGTACAGTATACCGTGCATTAAAAAAGTGGCCGCAAGTAACTGAACATGTATAAGTGAAAGTGTGCAAAAAAATATGACATAAATTGAGGGTTTATGAACTGTATTTTATTATACTTGTATTTTTTTATCCCCCACATGACCTTTCCAGCTTTGGGTGAAAATATCCACAGTTTGGTACAGTTTTTGTTGGGCCTCAGCACTTATTTTCTGAAAACCACAGGGAGATCTGGTAGGTTTCTCACCTTGTAAAGGGTGGTTGGAAAACTGAGGATTGTACCTCAAATCCAAGATGGCTATTGCCTAAATAGCTGAATGATGTACATACCCGTATTTGCTTGTGTGGCATGGTTTGTTAAATTTTTTGCTTTTAATGGTGGCTCTTTCTTCTAATCTCACTTTTTGATGTTGATACATAAAAGTGGAAAGTATTGAGGGAGATGCAAATTGGTCAGGTTAGTTTTCTAGCCACCAACTGACAAATTTGTAAAGGCTAGACTGTTGATCTAGAAAAAAAAAAATAGTTGCTCACACCACGTGATGAGCATGATCTACATTAATAATGTACAAATTGTAGATTGTGCTTGTATTGTTTAACTATCCATTATGGCATGTTTACTTGTACAGTATTGTATTTGTTCATCAAGTTTGCAAATCTTGACTGTAGAGATTGCAGAAATGCAAGGTTTTACTGCACTGTATTAACATTTCAGAAAAACTGTTTGTACTTGATTTTGATTACCCCAGAAAACTTTATATCTACTGAATGACATCTTATCATTACTGATAACACTGCATCAATTTATAGGTTATACTCTTCTGTACTAGGAGAGGTATGTGGTTCCATCTGTAGCATATCAAGAGATGGATTGAAAAGGCAGCAGCATGTAATGTATGTCTTGAGGACTGTTTAAATATCCCCTAACCTCTCTGTGCTGAGTGAAATTGTCTGGTGTTTGCCAAATAAAATATTAAAAGTGGCATTCCTGTAGTGAAGAGGTTAAATGTAATTAATTTGTTCGAGTCCCGATTAATGTGTTTTTATTGTTTCTTATCTTCTCTTTTCCCTTTAACAGTATTCATTGTTGAGACCTGATACCAGTGATTGCCTCTTCAAAATGGGATCTTCATACCTGTACCTCCTGCCTCTCACCATCTTCGTACTCTTCCCTGCTACCATCATCATCACGTATGTTTAAAAACTCTTGATAATGTACCACCTTATTTTAAAGCAGTGTAAAATATCAGACCAGACAGATATTAACAGTATGTCATTTTTATTTTCTTTGTTGCTAATACTGTACAGTATATTAGTTGCACATTTTTTTATTCTTATCATTACACTCATAAACAGTACAGTACTGTATTGCATTAGTAAATTACAGTATCCAATCTAAAGGTCATGTATTTCTGGATCTTTTTTGTATTAAAACAATGTAATGTCACAGCCTTTATATATGTATGTATTCCTTCTTTTTTAATTATATGCAGGTTTGACTCATACTGTTTCTTCAAAATGGTACTATCTTCCAAAATAACATAAGTAGCTTGAAGATTGTTAGTGATATAGCGAGTTTAATGATATTATTACAGTTAACCTAAATTTAACCATTTACAACAGGTACACCATATCAATTTTGCTGAAACATACTGAACCTGTGTTTCCATACATCAGTGACACAGGGACATATTCCCCTGAGAGCTGTATCTTCGGCCAAGCTCTTAACATAGGAGCTCTTGCTAGTAAGATATATGTTATATTATATGATTTTTAGATATAAGTTTGGGGAACATATTTTGTCACTAAAAGTACTGCTGTTCTGTGAAGTGAGTGAACCATTCATGATGACTTGGCAGAAATCAGCTTGAACAATACTGTACTGTAAGATCATTTTCACTTCTCAAATTAGATTTGGTTTGTTTGTCAGTCATACATAAATGGTTTATGTCCGTCTACATTACTGGATTATGGCACTTTAAGTATGCTTCTTTAATTTTGTACATTTTCACTATTTCTTTAATGTTCTGGCAAGGTTGATTATTTTCCTCAAAGCAGAGTACTGTAATAACTTTAAATCTCTCTGTGATTATTTTGAGGAAATTCGCAATAATTTCAACTCCAAACTAAATCTGAAATTTCCTAGGCAACTCAACTTAGAAATGCTTTATATTTCAACTAAGGGAAAGGTGTAGTGGGAGCGGCCTTGTTGAGAAAACTGAAAAATTCACAAATCCGGCAGGCTCTTGATCTCAACTGTGTTAGATTTCTTTTGTTTATACAGTACTGTAGGACCCTGACTATTGCAATAAAAAGCCATGAATTTTAACCCCATGGGCTTCTGGACCTTCCTCACCAAACCCTCAGTTGATCTCTGGTATGAGAGTTGAGTGTTGAACTAATGCAAATTTGGTTCTGAAATGAAAATACAGTAGTTAGATAAAGAGTCATTAATTGACAGACCTCTGCAAACTATATGACTCAATTATATTTCAAAGACAAAACCTGATAAGTTGCTATGATAAACAATTTCTAGTGTAAATGAAATAATTAATTTTCAATTACAGTGGTCCCTCAGTTAACGAGCACAATCCGTTCTAGAAGGTTGCTCGGTAACCGAAACCATTGTTTCAATGGCGTTTTGGGTAATTGGTTCCAGCTCACCGAAAATTGTCTAAATTCAACTAAAAAGGTAGAAAAGTACACTTACTTTGAGGTGTGTATGTAGAAGGCTCCTGGATGATGATGATGATGATGATGGGAATTAGAATGGGGGTGGAGGAGAAGGGAGAAGAGAAGGCATTGGGGTGGATGAGAAGTCACCCCATGGTGCCATTTCACCCATAAAATTTTAGTTCTCTTGGTGTAATTCAAGATTATTTTCTTTAAATTAACACTGCACTGCATTATATTTTGTCAATATGTAAAATATATTTAAAAATGACCAATAATTTGCTTGCAAACACAGAAAAAAAGCGTTTAGTTGAAGAGAGTCTCAAGCAAGATGTTACTTCCACTGAAAAGACAGAGAGACTGGCGCCTGTTTGGTGTGCTGCCAGGCTGGATGGCGCGCATGAAACTAGTTTCCTTACCTTCAGTTATGTTCAATAATTGTTAAAATTATTAAAAAATTGAATATTAAACTTTTAAGATTATTGAATAGTATAAACTTCTTGATATTTACTAAAATAGTAAGGAATTTAAGCCCTAAAACCGATTACTGTATTGGCGGACTAATACTACAGCTGGTGGACCGCCAAATGCAAGCGAAAACATGTTGAGGTCGGCCCGTAAAAAACTCGTTAATCGAGGGATTGCTCATTAACTGAAGTTAAAATCTTATGGAAGGTAACTCATTAACCGAAATCTCATTAACCGAGGCACTCGTTAACCGAGGGATCACTGTACCCTGGTATATTTCAGCAATTGTACTCCTTGTTAGTTACTGTATAGAGTAGACACAAGATAACAGATTGATTAATAAAAACAGTACAGTACATCATTATTTAAAGTTTGCATTATCTTATAGATTGGTTGAGTGTATCTCAGATAAGAACATTACCTTAGGTGCAGTAAGGAGATTGTTGGAAGGAAAATGGTTTCTTACTGGTCTTTTCCTCACATTATTGATTCTTAGGGTATATTTTTACACTAGTCCCACTGAGTGATTTATCATATATTCTCATGTTTCCCAGTTTCCTTCACATGTTTTTATTTCCCACCTCTCAATATTTTAATGGTTTCACCACTCATTAATCCTCCAGTGCAGTGTTTATGTCTGTTGTTGATTTAACCCTTACCTGATTTATATGCACATTTCTTATTTATTTTCAAGCTTGAGCATGTAATGGTTGCTTTACTCTTTGACAGAAGTTTTGAATATTACTGGATAGCCATTGGTATCATAGTGGCAATTTATTAATAACTCTTTAATTTTCTTTTCCAGTTCTTGTCACCATCTATGTTCGTTACCGACAAATAGCCGAACTCTACCATAACCATTCTTCATCTTCCAACATTGTGAGACTGAATCGAGTTGGTCTGTTTGTCGGTTCCTTTGCAGCTCTTGGTATTTCAATCGCTGCCAATTTTCAAGAAACTAATGTGCTCTTTGTTCATTTAACTGGAGCCCTAATGACTTTTGGCCTTGGAACTGCCTATCTGTGGGTGCAGGTAAGAATCATTGACCAAATTTTACAAGGCAGCACTAATGTAAATATGCTAGAATTTTATTGAATATTTGAAGTTTGAATTTGAGATAAAGCTGTATGTATGAGGTAAGAAAATTAAGTTATACTTAAAAAAAATATGTATATTACTTTGTTATCAGTAAATAAAGAATGATAACAAATACATTATGAATAATCATGCAATTAAGGCTAAAATGAATACCTTTCATGATGTTGTTTATCATGTGTATATTATTGTAAAGTTTAATAGTATTGTATGAAGTTTTCCAGTTAGGCTCTAAAACATTATTTTACAAATATTGTACAGTATATACAGTATGTGATATTAAGTTTTATAATTTGTTATCTCCTCCTTTCCCCTTAGGCTGTGTGTTCGTATCAGACTCACCCTCTTGTCAACAGCCTGGCAATGGCCCATATACGCATGGCCTTGGCAGTGGTTGCGGTAGTGTTCTTTGTGATAGGTTGTGTGTGTGCCAGCATTGCCCTTGCACAATTTCAAGGTAAGTATTTGAAGGTTCATAACACCAGCTTCAGGTTTTAAGTCCCAAAGATAAGACTTATAAAATAATTTAGTTTTGTAGACCAGCTATGAAGTGCAAGTTGTTACTTGTAAATACCTGTACTGTACTATGATAGCAATTTATGTCAAGAAAATATTTGTATTTAGGATGAAAAATATAGTCGTACTCTTCCAGTCTATCTGTTTATTTTATGATATCAGTCAACTCATGTATTTAACAGATTTAGAAATTGAAGGATTAAGAAACAAAATCTTGCTCCATGGCTGAGAAGCGATCTGCAAAGGTCCAGTGGCAGAAAGACATTATTTAGACAGCCTATTCAATAAGTAAATCTGTATGAATGTAGAGCAAATCTCCATGAATCTGATAGCTATCATAGACCATTGTAGAATTCAGGTACAAGTTTCCATAATTACAAAACATATTATCTGATATTCATTGCTTTATTATGATGACTATGAGGCTTTGCAAGTGACTTCGTCAAAATAGGGATGAGATGGTAATACAGTATGTAAAGCAAGTGACTTGGAAGCACCGTCAAAGCAAGAAGTACACCCTTCATTGAATAGAAAGGTAGAGCATTGAACTGCTTTGATATGCTTCTTTGTAAAATATAACTCCTTTGCTCCTGTTGACAGTCATTGCACACCTGGGTACTGATAAGTTCTGATTGGAGTTGGTTAATGGTTGAATGACTCACTTTGTTAGGCACAAAAGATTTTGTATTTATTGTATAAATCTGTTATAATTCCTCTAGTTTTGTCACCTCTAGAACCCCCAAAATGGCATGTAGATGGATGATCAATATACTGTATATTCTGCATTTTACAGGTAAAGAGCCTACAAAATGGTACCCAGAAGATGGAGGCTGGGGCTTCCATGTGGCCAGCACTGTATCTGAGTGGGTTTGTGCTGCATCCTTTAACCTCTTCATGCTTACTCTAGTAGATGAATTCAAATGTATCTCTATGGACCCTCCTCAGGTGAGTAGGTTATACATTGTCAAAAACTGCTTCGTCCTGGTGCTATCACTTGTCTCAGTTTGCTGTACCAACTGAGCAGATCCCATTCTTCTTTCTGCCAGACACATCCACTTCTCATTATTTTTTATTTCTTGTTCTTTTTACTCCCTTTTCCCAACATATTACTCTCAAAATAAAATTTGTGTTGCTTTTAATTTACTCATTTCTCTTTAATCTTACCTCTTTTGATATGGTTTTCTCTCTCATTACATTTACCTTCTGTCTTTCCACTACCTTCTTGTTCATTTCATCTTATAGGGTTCTATTTGCTGCCATATCCACTCCCATATCTTAACCCTTTAGTGGGCACTCATAGAAATAATGGAGACAAAAAAACCCTCTTGGTACCTTATACTAGACCTTTTTCGAAGGTAATTTTGCTTGTATGTATTTTTTGAAATATTGCGTCTAAGTGTGTCAAAGTTAGTCGAATGAAATAGCCCTCCAAAGCCGTTTGCCTGGATTATGGGTGACCTTGTAAGTCACTATGGGTATACTTGGCCCATTATAGGTAGTAATTTATAAATTGTGGTACATTTTCTCAAAATATATCCTTTTCACCTTAAAATGTGTGATACTGTCTTTTTATAACTCAAACAAAAATTTCAGGATGATTGAGCCAGTAGTTTGAGATTTATGATGCTAAATATACGGAAAATTAAAAGAAAAATCCTGTACATAAGTTTACTAATACAGTCTCTCCTTGACTTACGACAGGGTTCCGTCCCGACGACCAGGTCGTAAGTCGAATTGGTTGTACAGTAAGTCGAAAAGGCGAAAATAATAAATACAAATTCTAAAATGGGTGTAATTGAGAACATGAAGATAATTTAACACAGGTTGCAGTTCTTTCAGATGCCTAGAGAACATGAAGATAATTTAAAACAGGTTGCAGTTCTTTCAGATGCTAAGAGAACATGAAGGTAATTTATCACATGTTGCTGCAGTTCTTTCAGATGCTTGCTCAGTGGGCAAGTGGAGACACAATTTATATGTGCCCAATGCAATGTTAGCTATTCATGATTGTCTCAGGCAAGCAGTATTTTGGTTCTGGATGTATATATTACTGTATACTGGGTATATATTTACAGTGTAAACTTTTGCAGGTACATGTATCTGTGGAGACACTAGCGCCGAATCAGTACAGTGGAATTGGGGAGGCAGATCAAACAAATGATGATGTACAAGTCATTCTCTCATCACAGTCATATATTACCTGAGGAAGACCCTCCCAGTCAGCTAGCTGTGTGCCTGCTGGCTGCTTTTCTGGGGGGTTAGGAAGTGAAGATACTTCTACAAGTCGTGAGTCTGATTTTGGGGAAGGTGGAAGTCGGCAGGAGATAAACGTCATCAAGTGGCCATGGAGTGGCTGCTTTAATTTTTCTTGTGAAGGAAGTGCATTATTAGATGATGAAAATGTTCCATGTTTAGAAGAATGTCCTGATACAGAAATAGGAGAGGATAAGACGTATGAAAATAGAAGAGTGTCAGATATTACCCTTTCGGGATCTGTTTATAATGATGATCTTGGTGGTAGTGGAATACTCTCTTGTATCAGACCTGTAAGTGCTGTTGGAACTTCAAATGATGTTTCTGGTGATTTTGATAAAGATAATTTGTTTAAAGCGATTAAAAAGCAGTCAAATAAGAGTTATAGTTCCTTTGAACCTTCTCCTCCTCTTGAGGAAATTATGGATGCAAATCAACCTGCTGTAGCATCTGCACAGTCCACAGACTCACCTGAGGAGCTGAAACCTTTGATCAGTAATCCTTATTCATCATGTGACGAAAGTAATGAAAATGAAAGAGTAAAGAACGAACTTGACTATGTTGTGCAAAAAGAAATATCATATAATAAAGTTTTGCCATTTCCGATCATTACCAAGACCTTAAGTTCTCATGATTACTCAGGTGCTGTAAACTCTTTGGTAGAATTTGATAGCCATACAAAGTCTCACTCAGTGTCATTAGGTTGTAGACAAGACACAAAGTTTAATGGTAGTATTTCTTCCACTTCTTCGACACCCACTGTAACAAGAGACACAATGATACTGTGTAATGACTTGGACAGTGCTTGTCAAGTAGTTCCATTATCCTTTAGCCCAAATCTTTATCCTGATATAGGCCCAGTGCCTCTTGTCAACTGCCAAGTGTCCGTCAACAACACTGTGCCTCCTGGGACTTATAATTCTTGCAATAGTAATTCTTTGTTGACACTGTTAAGTCAAGCCAAATGCCCCAATAGTCTCCCTGCTTCTTGGCCACGCAGACGTCCACAATCATTGCGTGTTGCTATCTGTTATTCTGATCCAGAAAGTTTGCAAGATACTGTAGAGAGTGTTCCTTTGAGTTCTGCTTGTCAGCAAGAAATACGCTTAAGTGATATGTCTCCTAAATACAAAGAAATTTGTTCTTCTACTTTTAATACAAGCCTCTTAACAAATGTCACATGTTCAAGCACTGAGGGGATTCAGGAAAAGCAAGATGGTTGTTGTGTAGAGCCTGTTTTGAATATTATCAAATTTGGGGAAAAAGATCTTGGAGGGAAGTCTTTAGAGAAAATGAAAGATGAAGAAAGGACACAAAACTTTGACAAACTTACCAAGTCAAACAGTGTAATTTTGACTGACAATTTAATTGAACATAAAAGTAGTGAAATGAATAACTCGGATATATTAAGCGAATCTTCAGTGATATCCAAATTCCCCCCAAATACGATACAAGAAACCAAAACACTCGCTCTTGTGGATACAGCTCGGTGTCATCCAGAGTTTGATAAGAGTCTCCTCAGGTCTCCCAGCAGTGACAAAGAAAATGATCCTGCATTGATTTCTGTGCGACCTAAAGTTCAGTCCTTAAACACTGCTCTTTCGCCTAGGAAGAAAAAAAATTCTCCCAAGAAAAAACACAGATCACCAAAAAAATATGCCAGTAAGTTATCTAGTATGAAAGAGGCTCAACCAACACAACAGAAATCTCTTCCACTAATAACACATGACAAGGAGAAACTTAAAATTGAAGAAAGCAATTTTAAGAGTATAGATGATGATGTATGGGCAGTAGACGACTTTCTTCCAGTACCTTCCCGGTCTCAGAGTCGATGCGTGTCTCAATTGCTACAAGATTGTAAGGTTTCCTCTACTAAAACTCCCAAGGCACCAGGATTAATATCAACAGGATTGGGAACTCCATCAACTAAAGCTCAGATAAATAAGCCAGTTACTACTCCCCAGTCTTTTGATGAAATGGATTCCAGCATGATTACAAGTACATTCTCAACTGACACAGGCTATGAAACAGAAACTACTACATCTGTGTATTCCACAACTAATGATGATTGTTCCACAACTGATGAAAAGAAGTTATCAAGAAAAATAATGTCACCACAGTCAGATAATCAGGACCTCACATCAGATATATGTAATCTTTCATCTAATAGCATACCATCTTGCCTTGCCACACCAGCAGATCCAGTATCAGAGCTTACTACACCTCAAACTTTGGCAGATGATACAACTGAATATTATAGTATCTGCTCTGAGTTGACAAACCTTATTAACGCATTGAATGATACTCCACTACAAAAGAATCCCGATGAAGATACACCAGATTATTTGAGCATATCATCAGAAATGCCTGGAGTACCTAGACTACCTGAAGACAGTCCATCAACAGATCTAGAAATGCAACAGCTACTCCCAGGGGATTTGCAAGGGTTTCTATCTTCAGAAAGTTGTGTAGAGTTACCAGATGCATCAAGTAACTTGGGTTCATCCTCTGTAGAGACACCTGCAAGTGCTGACCCTTCTACATTAGTTGAAACTCCTGCATGTCAAGATTCTCTCTCCATTCCTGATCCTGGGTCAGTTGAGCAGAGTCCTTCAGATGACTCCTCCATCTCTCCCACTAACACTCCATCTCAAGAACTGGTAGAAATAAAGTATGTGCAACTCTCACTCAGTATAGTGTTAGCTATTGTTCTTCATGCCATGCAGAGCATTTCTCAGTTTATGTTAGAAATCTTCCTTTCTTCAGATCAAGAGGACCACTGGGACTAATGTTTACTGTACTTTTTTGCAATTGATTTGCATTAAACTTGACATTAAACTTGTATTAGTGTCTTATATAGAGATAATCATTGTGACCCAAGAAGCTTCTAAAGATTCGGTTTGAAGAATTACCTGTCTTAGGACTTCAGATTACCACTGAATATGAGGAAGTAGAAAAGCAGAGGGAGTACCAAGGATGGGTATGTAGGCTGCTAATGCCAGGGTGAATGAGCTAAGTAGGTTGGACTACTTTTAGTGTTGCAGAAGGTAAAGGAAATTGTGAAGATTTTACTATAGAAGAGAAGTGTCTAGTGAAGGTGGTTATGTACAAAGGTCCTGTTTAGAAATTTAATTTGGATTTCACAAATTAGATTGTTGTGATGTAATGTTTGTATATACAGTACAGTATGGTTATTAGAGAGAAATATTCACAAGGTACATATACACTGAAAACAGTCTATGAAAAAAAATTATTTGCACAATCCTGACCACTGGTGAGCACTCAATAAATATTTATTTTTCAACACATCTGTGCCTCCAGCCTTTTTACTTTAGAGTTACTTGTAGGTAGATTAGAGGAGAACATATCTTGGTTTATCGCCCCATTATTAAGTATGTATGTTGAGGCTTTCTATTAATTAATTGTTTCTCAGACTTTTCCTTGAAATTTCTATATATTTTGTACACCATTCTTCCATACTATATCCTGTCATCATGGAGGTTTATATTTTCTCTTTCTTGATCCACCCCGGAAAGAAATGGGAGCAGAAGAAAAATAACACATAGGGCCTCCCATCAGAACTAGATTTATTCTCAGAAATATTACCAGTGACCCTTGCTTTACCAGTCAGGAGTTAATCTGTGAGCTCAGAGTCATTCCCACCACACTGCACACTAGCTGACTTTGTACTGTATCGTGCACTGGAGTGAAGGATATTTATACTCATCTTGGTCACAAAACCGTTCACTTAAAATAAATTTGAGCTTAAAGAACCCCAATAAATTTTACTGTAATAGCTTAATTTTATCCTTCAGAGTGCATTACAAAGCATTGTCATCAATGTACTGTATAGACTTTATGGAAAAAAAAATATAGATTACAGTATTATTTATTATACTCATTGAGAAGAATTTTTTTTTTTTTTTTTACCTTGGAGACGGTTTGAATGGAGAATGGTGGGAGATAGTTAGTTTGTAGAGTCACAAAAGTGTACAACTACTTAATTTTTTTTTTTTACTGTTTGTGTGATTGGCTGTGTTTGTGTATCACATGTGGAGGTGTATGGAACTGTTTTCATATTGGTCTATTTGCCATAATCCTTCAACCAGTCATAAATAATTTGGTTGGAAATGAAACTGTGAACCTTAAAGGATTAATGATTTATAATTTTAGGTGTAGATTTTCCCCCAGATAGTGTCAAACATCAGAAAAGTTATGTTATTACAGGCAATCCCTGGTCTATGAACTTAATGTGTTCCTGAAAATATGTTTGTAAACTAGGAAATAAATTCCATTTAAACAAGGGTATATATAATTAATTGGTCCCAGATGTAAGTGAAAACCACACCTTTAAAATAAAAATCTAATGAATATACTACAGTTATAAAAATTTTTATAATAAATTTATATTGTGAATACTGTAATACCTGTAATAATACAGTAAAATGAAATACATAAATTAGATAGTACATTAGAAATTAATTGATAAAATAACATTTTTGTTTTTCTGTAGTCAAGTGTTTGGTTTCTTGTATTTTCCCAACCATTGGCATTATGTTTGAAAAAGCTGTATTTTTATGAGTGGAACGAAAGTTTGAAAGGCCAAAAAACATGGTCATAAAGTATAATGTTTGTAACTTATATGCCAGTTGTTCAGAAACTGAGAATTGCCTGTACAGTACTCAAAACCTGCTTTAAAAATTATGTACCGGTACAGTAATTCATAAATATTGTACTTATCAAAATGAATGATGTAAGTTTGATATGTTTTATTAATTAGAAATGGCTCATGCAGCTTTTAGTTTAACTTATAAAATGGGAATCACCATAGACCAGGGATGACTTCAGATTATTTGAAGCTCTAGTATAATTATGGCCCAAATTGATGTTGCAAAATGGTTACAGTAATCCGTACCTTGGCTTTGCTATTTGTCAGAATATATGTTTTGGTGTTTCTCCTTTTTAGCTGTCAGTAAAGAAAGAGTTAAACATTAATGTTACTAATTTTCATCTAAAAAGTAATAAGATATACTAAATTCTTAAAGCAGTTCTTATTATTTGTGGTATGATAATCAGTTTGGAATGAATGGTATACAGGTTTTAGTATTTTATTGACGAAAATGTGGTCATAATTAAACATGGTAAAAAGGTAACAAGATTATTTATTGGGAATCTTTACCTTTAATTCCCTACCTCATCACCCTCTACAAGTGGTCTTGAAAAATTATACAGTATAGTATGAATACTCTTAAGATTTCCCTAGCTACATCTTGCTTGTTTCTGGTGTATAGTGTTTATAAGTCTAATGAGGGAGAAATGTAGTGTTTTTATTCTTAATTTTGTAAAGAAATGGAAAATCCCCCAAATAAAAAAATAAAAAG